GTCACGCTCTCATTTAATCTAGTATACTAAAACAGTAGCACACACTGATTTGTCCTAATACATAATATCGTACTATTCGAGATCTAATAATTTAGTTTTACATTAAACATCATCGATTTCGTCCCGCTCGTGAGAATATTATAATATTGGAATTATCAATAAAGGTGCCGACAGCAATAGTCCGAAGAAATCGATAGTAAAGGCTTCGCATGTTTATTTTGTATTGATATTAACTAATACACAGATATGATATACGAATCACTGTCAACGGCAAAATGAAAAATAAACTAATGCATACACTACACAGTATTATGCGACGGCTGAACATTTTATTTTTATCTTAAATACAGATATTATACAGTTATTTGATTGTTATATTATCTAATCTACAGTACATGCCCGTCAATCACCCAATATATATAATTTCACTACAACAGAGAATATACGACTTTAATTTGAAGATATACGGAGTTTATCAGAAATAACCAGAAAGTATACGGCGTATACCGCCGTATACCCTCCACTACAGCACTGGAAATAATATTATATTATAAGGCGATACAATGCATATTGTTTGTCGCATCGCTGTAGTTGTCACACACATATTTTTATTTATAGTGTCAGGTAAACTACTGAACGATGAATATTTTTTCGTACAGTACAACTATGTACATAGGAAACGATGGACTTTTCGCGCGTACGAACACCAGCATTTGTGATTATTACTATTATTATTATTTTATACCCGGACCGGATGAATTGGTCTTGTCCGGAGGCTGCGAGCGTATATATATATATATATATATATATACGAGTATAATATAGGTATATAGGTAGCAAGGGATGGTATATATGTGCTATACGGTAGTTTGTGCATGCGGGGACGTTCCGTGGGCGTTATGGGACAGCTTAGGGTGAGAGGGTAACACATAATATGGTCAGAAGAGTAGGGAGAAGGGTGTTTTATGCGTAGGACGTGGAGTTATGGTCATCGATCAAGCGTGCTGTCAACCTGAAACACCAAAAGCACAGGACCTAGTACCCCTTCGGCATGCGTACAAGCACACACACATACATGCACACGCGTGATATTATTCTGTTTTCCTCCCATGGATATATAAGCACTGCTCGCGGAAGCCAACCAATTAAAACAAAAATTAAATAATTGTTTCGGGTCATTGCTGAAGGAGATTGATGGTATATTTGGAATAAACACTTCTTCGCCCGCATGTATTTATATATTATATAATATACAGAGATATGTACTACGAGTTAAGAGATGAAGCCCGTACGATCATCGTTCGAATAGACATTTTCTTGAACAAGACGATGAGACCATGTATTATATGCAGTATGTACAATCGCTGTTGAGATATTTAAAGAAAACGCTTTAAACATGTTTTAATCATTAAAATAAATCAAATGTTGATTTGTTTAAATCGTCTAAAACATTTTATTTGAACAGTGTAAAAAAAACTGTTATTAAAAACAGAAAAAACATAATTCTTGGCCTACTGTTACCGTTTACCATCCACAAGTTTTTAATTTTAATTTTCTGCAATAGTTAATTATTTATTTATTTATTTTTATTTCGTAATTAATTGAAATTTCAGTTTAATACTTACATTTTAACTTTTAAGACACATTATAGTTCTATAAATAAATTATAGAATGATTATATGATTATATTAATCAATATTTTAACTGTAAAATTAATGATAGTAAAAAGTTCCATTTCTTCTGATAACAGCAACATAACTACACAGATAACGGTTTTTTATAACACAGTCGTATAAACAAAGATTAAATAATACAAAAAAAAAAAATTTAGAACAAGTTTATAAATTACAATACATCTTACAAATATAAATATAACTAATTTTAAGTATAAGATAATCTAAAATATAATCTATTAGTATTTGGGTAAAAAAAAATGTAAAACGTTGATGTATAGCATGCTTAATTTATGAAATAAAAATGTTTAAATTTGAAATCCTTAGATCACAAAATCAATATGTTTCTATTTCTCTTGAAAGATGTATGGCGATAATATTAGTTACGAATATACGAGTATTAATTACACCAATGTAGGTCTTTGTATAAGGTTCACTTTGTATTTTATAACTGAAAATTTAAGAGAAATTATAACCTAAACTCATATATTAAATATGATTTTAGTAGAAAACTTTTTTTCTGACGATATTAGAAATTAAACTATTGTTAAAAATTAATAAAATGTCAATCCTTTTAAATCTCAAAATATCCAAGTTTTACTTACAAATTATTATTTTTTTAATAATACTCGTATAATACAAATGTGTACTACATCATTAATATCAACGTATTGACTACATATACCTAAATCATAATAACTTATCATAAACTAGTGCTTGAAATTCATTAATTTGAAATAGTATGCTTATTAGTTCAATGAATAGTTATACAATTCAATTTAGATAACTGTATACAAAGTGTAATTAATTTATTGACGGGACCGATAAACATAGAATTTTGCATGCAGCGATTCTGTATATTATTCTCATCAATATATCATTGCAGTATATAGTACACAATAATATATTATTTACATGATGATCAACTATGTATTTTGTGAGGGGTGAAAATGTAAAATTATGGTTGATTTCGACTAATCTAGTTTTTTCTCAGAAATCTATTCTCATTTATAATAATAAAGATATGTATAATAAATAATATAATTAATATTTACCTATCATAATACAACTGAAATATCAAACAATTTCCATATATAATAATCTTACTTCATATTCTAATGTTAAAAGACTGCGTTCAATAAAACATATTTCGTTCGATATACTATATTAAAACTCATCCACCAAAATTTATTTTAAACGAGACAATAATTATAAACAATGGTGCATTATCGACATTGTTATTCATCTGAGTTAATTTTTGTCTGGTTAAAAATAAGTGATGGTACGAAAGAAGAGGGGCCATGAAAAAGAAGGAAAAATCAATATGATATAAAATATAACATTTATTATTTTAAAAATAAAATTTAAAATGTATATACTCAGTGTGTGAAATTGTGAGTTTGTATTTTGGTTTCAACAGCTCTTCTGATCATTATGATAAGGTAAACTATGTATAACTGTAATGTATAAAATAATTTATTCACGAAATCAAAACCAAGAGGTTATGGAATTATAGATAAGTGGCAATAACATTCAAGACGGTTGTACTCGTATTGTGTTCTACAATCACTATTATCAGTAGTGCTGTTTGTATGAATACTGATTTCAGTGTTCATTTGCATCTAGTTGATTGAACTAAGACAATGAAAACGTGCCGGCAATGGTGTTTATTAGTGATCACTGTTATTACGTAATTAATAATGGTTAACGACCTTATTCTGTTGGAAACGTTTGGCAAAGATGAAGAAACAACGTAAATATATTCAGAATTACTCATTATTAATATTTTACTAGATATACTTAAACAGATGTTTCAATATGTGTATGTATACATTTTATCCGGTTTAAGTTATTGCGTTTATGGTAATATAGTACGACACAAAGTCAATAATCCCTAAAATACGTCACGAAAATAAAATATTTTGAATACAGACGAACGCACAAAAGTTTTCAATCAATCTGAATATATACCTATAATCTGTATATTTTTTTCAGCTTTCTACTTCCTCGCAGAAATGATCTAAAAAATGATAACGGTCGGATATTCTATGGTAAACATCGATTTAAAATGTTGATTATTTTCTTAACTTTTGCAATACTCGTTTCGACGTTTGTTATATCAGTCATCAGTTTTTGGACAGTCAATAGTTCTGACGACGATTCACCTATACAGGTATTAATGAATATATTTAATTAACAACATATATTATTGAATAAATTAATAATAGTAAACTTTCAAGGTTTCACTACTTTTATTCATAAGTGTATTTGAAACTTTAAAGTCATAACCGCTGATAAATTATAGTATTTTCCGACAACAATTTGGTATAATATTAATGTTTATTGTTTTTAATACAGTCTACATATTCAATAGACAAATTTGGAAATCATTCAACATTATTGAAAAACGATAATTATATCAAACAATGTGCAACTATCGTATCTTGTGATTTTAATGATAAATACAGAACTATCAACGGGACTTGTAACAATCTAAATAATCCTACTTGGGGATCATCAAATACCCCTTTCATCAGACTTGTCGGTGCACACTACAGTGATGGTAATTAAATTACAAAACCATAATATTTATCGATAAATTTATTCAAAGAAGGGCAATTATTTTTATTGGGAATAATAATAACTGTAAAATCATAGACCTAATTTTTCTTAAACTATAATTTCAAGCAACCAATTTAAGCCACAGGCAGAAACGTAAATTTTTGTCCTCAAAATAAAATAATGTATAATTTATTTTCTCTAATTATTTTAGAACTAGTCATAATACATAATGCTTTTCATTAATTGACGGTTTTTTTAAAACAACACTAGACCCCAGCGTCTTCTTAACTTACCCTTCCTGATGAGAATAATATTTACCATAAGTTACCGATTACTTATGGTATATTATTTTTATTAATCCAACGTACCACCGCACGCGATAACCTTTGGTGTTACTTTTATTTCCAAAACTGATAAATTCAAATTACAATTATAAATATGAATAATTATAGCTAATAAAAAGTTATAAACATGCTAAAAATTAAAATTAAAATATATTTATAGCTATAATACTGCATCATTCGATATTAAGGTATCGATATCTTAATAAGTAATCCAAGGACCGAACTAAATCAAAATATTCAAACTCTTCAAACTTTAACTCCGAACCTCCATAGCCTCCTTGGAAATTTCAATACATAAATCAATTGAAATCATACATAAAAAAAAGAATTATAAAAAATACGATGATACAGTGAATAATGAATCTAGATAACACCTAAACTTATAATATTAAAATATAATTATTATTACATGTACAACTACTTAATATCATTATTTATACATTATCGCGTGCAACTAAATTATATAACCATACGGTAAATAATAAACCTTTAAAATACGTGTTTTTACATTTAATGGGTATCAATACATTTTTTATAAATATTAGAGTTTATTTTGATAAACTTGTTCTGATGTTTATTCAACGGAGAATAATTTTTATATTATAATAATAATAAAAAAAAAAAAAAAAAAATTACATAATATATGAATATTATACGTATTAATTATCGTTTAGAAATGTTGCTTTTGCAATTCAAAAAACTTTGTATGACTTCAAATATTTTTCAAAAGGAATATCCAAACTACGCATTTCATCAGATGGAAAATCATTACCGAGTGCCAGAAAAATTCAAGTGCAGTTGTTCTTATACAAACAAACAAATATTCCCGACATAAACAATCAACTATTGATGCAATGGGGTCAGTTCGTAGCGCACGACGTTTCTATCTTGGAAATTGATGTTAACGGCGAAGGTGATAATGATATAATTATGTTGTTTGTATGCAGCGACACAAATGTCGCCCAGTGATTATACTTTGTCGACAATATTTTAAAAGATTGGGCGAAATAATGAGAAACAAACGTGTAGTACTATAAGCGTACTATGGTATTACATTGACTATATTGAGAAAAACATTTTTTGTCGCCAAGTGAAAATTCCTTATAAATTACGCTGTTTTTATGCGTATGTTTGCCAATTATGCCAGACTATACGAGTACATTGTTATGTCGTACTTGGTGTAATTTCCGATTGTAAAGTATAATAAATGTACAAATATTCGATTGTTCTGTATTTTCCCAGATTGCTGTTCGTATCAAAATCAACTATCGGTATCAAAAGCTTGTGAAGCCATTATAAAAATACCAATGGACGATCCTGTGTATTCAAAGTATAACAAAACGTGCATGGAATTTACTCGTGCAATGACATCAATCAACTATAGCTGTTCATTACAGTCATCCGAGCCATCAACATTTGTAAGTGCATACGATTTAAATAATATTATTTCTCGATTAAAATGTCAACATAATATGATGTTTAAAATTTGATAATATTTATTACACATAGTGGCGTATTTTATGGGGATTCCCAGGCTTCAACCTTCTTTCTCTCAGAAGAAAAATAATTTTCAAAATTCATAAATAACTTGCTACGAAAATACAGAGAAATAGAAAATTAATTTATATCATGTGATTGTAATGCTTGGTATAATAATATGATTATTAATTCGTACTTAATATGTATTTTTCATTATATTATAAAATAACATATTTATTAGAAAACCATAAACCCCCTCACAAAAAAATTTGAAAATACACTATTGATTACACAAAGATATTTTATGATATTTTACTGTTAAACACGTAAAAGTATACATATAATTTATAAATTAAATATACATATTATTTATATATTATAAAACAATCAAGTCGGGAATTTTGTTTCGTTTTTCTCAAATCAATGTCAAATTTACGCATAAATTTGATATTGGGAATAGTGTTAAGCATTGGTATTCGGTGGACAATTTTTATAGGCATTTCTCATTATGAGCTAACATTTGTACACACATCACGTGTTTATGCATAAAATACAAATATTATTGTATTTAAAGATGAATGATGCTACACATTATATCGATGGATCTCAAATTTATGGTTCTGACGATCATACCGCATCGACTCTGAGATCGTATACCAACGGGAAAATGAAGTCAGTCACGAGAGAAGACGATTTTCAGGAATCTTGTCCGTATTCGTTCGTTGGATCATCATCTAGTTTCAATAAAACGTATTCGTCTAACTCCGGTAAAACTCAGTTTCCCAACACATTGACATTAAGCGATGTACTCAAATTATAATGACATACTGTAACGTATGAACGACATTGTCCTACAGGCGCGAATTCGAATCTAGGAATGGCACTTTTCCACGATATGTTTTTGAGATTCCATAATTTTGTAGCGTTGGAATTGAAAAATGCCGTCCCCTTATGGTCCGACGAAACTCTGTACCAAGAGTCTCGAAAAATCGTCGGCGCGGTCATTCAACACATTACGTACACGCAGTTCTTACCGACCATTCTAGGTATATAAATAATTTAGTGCCCCGCAATAATTACATTTATCCAATAAAACGTTTGATGCGAAATTATTAAGCGTTTTCCAGGTAAAAAATACACGGAAGAAAGAGTGCTAGCTGAAGACGATGATTACATTGCAACCGTAAATCCATCGACTTCGCAAGAGTTTTCAGCCGGTGCTTTTAGAGTTCTGCACAGCATTGTACCGGCCCAACATAGGTGTGAACCATCAATCATTACACCATTAGTTTTTTTCGTAACTATTCGATTTGTTAACCACGTGTAGACTAGATAACTAGATGTATTGAACAATACGTATACGTGAAATGCATTCCGTTTAGATTTGTCGATTCAAAATACATTACCCTGCGAACTATTAACGTCACTGACTGGACGGATTGCCCATATCTCTTGCGACAAGGCTCCAACTTTGATGATCTTCTCAGAGGTTTGTTGTTCACCGAAGGACGCTTAAGACAACCATCATACAACCCATTGGTAATTGTTCGGACATTACTACGATCAATGTTATTCAATAATTATATATTTCGATGTATTGTAACAACGTAGTAGATCTTGGTAAATTTGTCTTTTATACACAGATTTCAAATCTTATGTTTCATTCCAATAACTTGATTGGTGTGGATCTCCTATCATATGATATTCAAAGAGGTCGTGATACGGGTTTACCTCCATACAACAAAATTAGAGAGTTATGCGGACTACCTGTTGCCAAATCGTTTACCGACTTGATAGATGTAATGCCATTAGATGTTAGTCACTGGTGATATTACTCTATTATAATGTTTATACTAGAGGTCGGTCACAACGGATATTAGAATACACGGAGTCCGGACATGCGGGTAAAAAATATATTAAAACCCGTTGTTTAATACCCGTGTATATCCGTATATTTAATAACCATACATATCCGTGTATTTATTTATTATTACCCGTAATATTACATATGCATTCAGAATTCATATAAACTTTAAATATTAATATTTATAATAATACTAGCGACCCACCCCGGCTCTGCAAGGGTTCTATCTGGATCTGTAATAAAATAAATTTGTAGACATTTGTAATCATCGGGTCGATATGATAGCAAGCATCGTATTCATGGTAGAATTTTCTTTATTTACCCATGAATTAGTTATTCTATCGGATCTGTGGCTGTTCAGTTATCAGTTTTTTTTCGGTGTCTTTATCTTTAAATCATAACAGTTTACTAAAATTGAATATAAAGTTAAAGTTATTTAAAGTTAATGTCCACAATACTGTGTTATGCGTATGTCAGAGGAGATCAATTCCATAATATCCTAAGCGTATCGATTAGCTTACAGCTAGTATGTGTACATATGTTATACTTATCGCTAAATTTATTGCATTACGTTCACATATTTATTTTTTCATTTATGTATACTTTATATTTAAACATTTTTTGGTAATTTTAAAATTGTTCCATAACTTATTATTATATAAATATTGTATTTAAATATATGAGAATTCAAGCTCACGGGTATTTAACACAGGTATTAAGATACACGGGTATTTATGTTACACGAACCTTAACCTCGTTTTGAGTAAAAACACGGGTAGTCGTGTAATCGCGACCTCTAGTTTACACTTTCTCTCACTCTCTCTCTCTCTCTCTCTCTCTCTCTAAGATTGCCGATGTTTTTAATTCTAGGATATTTACGATTTGGAAAAACTCTACTCTTCCGTGGACGACGTAGACTTCCTTGTGGGTGCTTTATTAGAGACACCAGAAACTGATGCTTTAGTTGGAAATACCTCCCGATGTATTATTGGTGATTTTTTCTACAGATCACGTGTTGGCGATCGATTTTTCTACGATGGTAAAAACCTACCGAAACAGTTTTCCAGTGGTAATATATACGTAACTTATATGTTATTTATTTTGTTTATTGTGTAATATTACACGGTTTATACGTAAATAAATACATTTTATAATTATGAACTTTTATTTTATATTTTGATTTCAGATCAACTCGAAATAATAAAATCAATCAGCCTTAACCATATAATATGTGCAACTTCGTCAGTAGATAATTTACAAAAACACATTTTCGCAAAAGTTGATAACGGGTGAGCACAATGTTATTTCTTATAGTTACTAATTACACTTATTATATTATATTATGTTCATAACAAAAACTTTTCTTAAAAAATAATACAATAGCTATTCATATCTTACTACTCCAAAAATATTTGAACCATATAATTAATTTTAAAATATGCTTAATTATTTAGATGGTATTCTTCTATGAAATGGACATGCAATGAAAAATATATCATAGATTTCAAACCATGGGAGAAATTATTTATTAATTTACATTGAAATTAATTATTTTGCCAATTGTATTCTGAAATATACACACATGTGATATTTATCATAAGATACATCTAAAATGACAATTATTGAACATTGTGTTTATTCAAAATAATTTAAAATATTACATCCACATGACCTGTTTCAAAATCAAACCAACGGAAAATAAAAAAAAATTAACAATCGACTATCAGTTTATATACATATTTTTTTATATATACTTAAGTATAATTCATCTAATTAATTAAACCTCTATTACACAGGGTGAATTTACTCGCAGCCACTAAACTCGCTCAATATAAAAGGGCTAAGTCACTTAATCGCCGCGTTTTAAACGCTCGCTGCTCACCAGCGATTAATGTAAACTAACTCGCTAACTATTTTACTCTCTGGCAAGTAAAATCACTTTGTGTAATCGCTCTAACTGATAAAATCGCTAATGTGCAAGCGAACAGTGACTGGTCAAGTTGTCGGAAGTTGTAGTTCATGCGGGAGTTGTAGTGATTTCTCATTTATTGCGCCAAGGGTTGGAAAAGATAAAATCTAAAAAAAAGTTAAGAGATAATAAAATAAGAGAATACCTGTTCCATTTCCACTTTTTCCGATTTTTGCAAGCTCCTTTCAATAAACATTATTTACATTTTTAATTTTTTAATTCATTTTCATTAATTCTTCATTCTCAAAGCTAGTTTATTACTTCTTAAGCATTTCATTTTATTATTTTATGTTCAAATAATCCTTATTTGTTATGTTCCAAAATAATGGATACTATTCGAATATTTTTAAAAAATAAATCATGTTAATGTGATTTCACTTCATAATTTCAAATTTTAAAATTTTAAAGAAAACAAAAACTCAATTATTAACGTAAATAACGTAATGAATGATTTAACTATTTTCATACCAATGACAATTTCTTGTCATACGTAAAAACTATGATGAATACGTGTGCGCAACTAAAACGAGCGAGCGAACTTAATCGCTCATTGTAATTGGACAGGTCGCTTATGTCTGCTATGTCGGATACACTTATCGCTACACGCTCACACACGCATTGATTTTGATCGCTAACACGCATCGTGTAAATTCGACCAGCGTAATCGATGCTTTAAATGCATTTAATTTTAATTCTAAAAATAAAGTGTTAATTTAAATTTATCTAAAATCTGTAATTACTAAGTTCACTATTGTGAGTATATACATATTTTATGATTTATTACTTAGTATTATATGTAATAATAATAAAACCATAATAAATGTAATAATAATAAGGAGTTAATTAAAAAATGTTAGTTACATTTTGTATTACATATGTATTACATATGTCTTTTTATATTTAATAAAGCAATTTACAAAAACATTTTTTTTCAGCAAATTCGACTGCCATAGGTCATCTAGAATTTTTGGAATACCCGTGTTTGATATTTTAAATGCATTTATTTATAGTTATTACAAATATTAGCAATATAGATATATATTTGTAATTTAATATATTTGTTTAAAGAAAAATCGGTTTAAAAACTAAGCTCAAGTACCGTATTATCCGTTTAACATCTAAATCAGAGGTTCCCAACTTTTTTTGACTCACGGCACTCTTTATTATTTTCTAAAAATGTGGAGGCACCCTATAGCCTATTCCCTTTACTCTATAGTTTACACTAAATACGCAATACTAATATATCATATATTTAAATTTATATTTTTTAACTTTGGTTTTATTTAGCATTAATAAATAATAAAGATAAGATAAAGTCACAAGTATTTCACCGTAAATAAATTTAAAACAGTTCACATCAAATCGATAGCAATCAAACCAGTATAAAAATTAAAATAGATTGAAAATCTCAGTATTACTATGTAAAAATTATATTTTAATAATTAATTCATTAAATTATATTGTATATACCTAATTAATTATACACAATAGATTTTATACTATAGACATAGAGTATAGTCTGTTTTATTACTCACAGTGCTATATTTTTCATGAAGGCGTTTATTAATATTTTATATATAATATATTAATATTTCAAATATTTTTGTGGTACCCTAAATTTAATCTCGCGGTACACTAGGGTGCCGTGGCACTCTGGTTGGGAAACTCTGATCTAAATGGACTCGTCCATACTATTGTTTTATTGCCTTTCTATCAAAATTACTTAATAATACTAATTTTTTTTTTTATATATATATATTTTATGTATAATAAAACATTCCTAGCTTATAAGGTTATCTATATCTATGGATAATTAGTAACGTTAATTTTTGGTAATTTTAACATGATAATAATTAAAGACCGGATTTTGCATATAATGCATTCCCTTAAATTTCTCCCTTACACATTCAAGTTCTTTTCAACTTTCCTTTGTAGTTTCCATAAAGCGAAATACTCCTGAAATTATCTGTTGCGCGCCAACAACACACATGTGCATGTGCATAATCTGTTCGATCATCGGTAGCGATTTGGAAAACATGTCTTGTCGATAAAATGTTGTTTTCCTGTTTCGTCTTGTCTTGTTAATTAAAATGTTTGTATAAAAAATTTGATTTCATACTAATTTAGTATTTCATTATTATTTATTAAAAAAAATATAATATTAATATAAAATTTAATTTTATTATTTTCGTAATTTCATCAGTGTTTCTATAATTTTATTGTTGGCTTTCAATTTTTCCTTTTCTAACTAAATTTGGTTTGTTTCCAGCTCTATTTTCTTCGTTTTATATTCAATTCTCTTGGAACTATCTATATAGCTTGATATCGCTTTAGTTATTCCTGCCGCGGTTACGTAAATTTAAGTAATTTTGCTAGTAAAATATTTTAATTGTGCTCTGTGAATATTTTAGTTAGTAAAAATTATAGTTTATAATAAAAGTTATTCGAATAATTATTTCCTACTAGTAATGTACAATATTTATTTATAGTATTATAAATATTTTATGAAAGAGACAAATAGTAAGTCTATAAAAAAAATAATATCCTGAGAATAACACTTTTCTAGTAAACTATAAATAAGAAAATCAAATTGAAATGATATTTAGAGAATACTTGAATAACGCGAATTGAGTCATAAATATTATAAAAAAAAATATGCTATCAATAAAAATAAACTAAATGATGAATCCTTTATCTATAAATTATCTGTTAATTGAAAAAGACAACTCCTATAATAATTCACTCGTACATACCATAGCCTGACCTAATCCTAACTAAAAATATGTATATATTATATATTTTAATAATTATTTAGGCATTATAAATAATATATTTATACATGTAAATGTATACATTTGTACGTTTCATATAATACTATAATATAATATAATATAAAGGTACAATTGGTACAAATATAGATTATAATAGAACATAATAAGTCTATTCTATATATTCGAATAATCGATTTTATTAATTATTGTTTAATTTAGACATTTAACGTTTATTTTTATAATTATATTATAGGAAATAATAGTTAATTTTACGTAATAATACTTTTTATATTTTTCATTTGGCCTGACCTAATAAAAGTGTCTAGTTTCGCCTATGATAAAAATTAAATGTTGTCTGTAATGTGAGTGTAATAAAGTATAATAATTGTAAGAATCTTAATGCAATATAACATATAATAAAATGTTTTGTACTTTGCCTAAAAAAAAATTGGAATTTAAGTAGTCGTTGGTAATAGGCGATGCCCAATTTTGTTTGTTTTCTTCATATTGCCTACTCCACGAATGGCATTATATACAATGCCTAGGTATTTTATAAAATACCTACGTTATAAGTAAAATAATATTGAAAATCATGTTTTATTTACGTTGCCTAAAATGGGTCGGCAATTTGCAAAATACCTGAATTATCCATATTACCAGTTACATATACATAGGATAATCTTCCTTCCAACAAATTAATATACCAACTAAAACATTGTGAAATGTGATTGAGTGTCAGTTCAAGACTTTTATTTAATGGTTGACTGTAATTCAATTTATGTGTTATGTGCAAATGTATGTGTAATAATTGATATTATATTCAATTTAAATATACACTTAATTTAATTTTTTTTGTTCGTATAAACCAAAAAAGAAGAGCTCATAAAAATATCAAATATTTAATAAGTATCTACTTAAAAATATCTCAATAAATAAATTCTTAGTAAATTCTTATTTAATTAAGTGCATATTGTATAAGTTTTAATAATTAAATAACAAAAAAAAAGAAAGACATTTGATACATATATTAAAATATCCTATATACCTAAGTAAATTTCAAATACAGATTTAAGAACATTTTGAAAGAAAAATATTGGTTTCCTACCATAGTTGTAGGTTATTGGTGAAAAATAATAATTATTAAATACTAAATACAAAATAAATATAAATAAAATTAAAGGGTCAATTTATTGTTATAATATATTGAGTATAATCCAAACATACATTTTTTTATTTTTATTTATTACAGGTATTATATTTACAGGTTTTGCTTTTTTTTATATAAATACTTTTTATATTATTTTTATATTTTTAATCGCAAAATTTTAAACTACATTTATTCAATAATATTAATTTTGTAAATTCCTAAAAATTAAATTAAATATTTATTGTTTAAATTATTTTTGCTATCTTAATTTTTTATTTATTTATTTATACTTTTTCTTTCTTAATTATAGAATAGATAATATCATAAAATCAATGGTATCATACAAACCAAGAATGGATAAATTGCAAACATCAGTTCAAATACAGATATAACTATCTTAATTAGACTTTTGGATATTTACATAATATAATTAAATTAATATGTAGCAAAAATAAACATTTAAAACTGAAAATAATATTTACAGTGTCCATATAATAAATATATTAATTAATACTTTATAAGAATGTAGATTTTACATACTTATAAGATTATAAAAAAAACAAAACCATTATACTTTATATAACATTTTTTTTTAACAATATCAAAAAGTGTAATTGAATCATGAAATTTAACATTTCTTGGTTATATATAAAATTTCTATTCCAGAGTAATTCAAATATTATTTAAATCATCCCTGTTATTTTTAAATATTAATTAACGATTAACTACATAATATGTACTATAAATGTGTTTTTACATATTTATACAAATACAATATTATTCTAGAAAACTTTTATGTTTTAATCAAAAATCAAATTAAGTATTTTTATTTTTATTTTTTTTCTCAATACACATATTGGCTTTTGATCAAATAATTTATTCTTTGTACATAAAAAAAAACTAAATATAACATAAATCAAATACTCATAATTTATAAATAAGATACAAATCAACACATTATGTACAAAAATATTGACCATTTAATAGAATGTTGTATGCACAACTTACATTAATTATAATTCATTTTTCTTCTAAGATCGATATCAATGAAAAATAACTTATTCTTATACTTATTATCACAATGTAAATTTGAACCATTTAATCACCCAGTGCAGAAAAATAATCTTGATACACTTGAATGTAGTGTTCTTTTTCTGATGGTGTCATTTGGCTAATGGCATCTGTCATATTCACTACTTCTGTAATTGGTACACGTCGCCCAGCTACACTTACTAAAGGTACATCTTCATCATCTTCTTCTTCTTCAGAGGTTAGTTCTTCAACTCCTAAAATGATTTATTATTAATTTAAAGCATGAGTAAATATATTTTAAAACCAATGATTTTTTTTTTTTTAATGCATTTTAACATTTTTAATATCCTATCTAGCCTGTCTAAAGTTAGACATACCTCTGAAGTTATTACATAATTTTTATCATGAATTTGTAGATAGTTCTAAATGACATTCAGAGAACTACTTATTTACTTTATTAATAATATGTTTAATAATACAGTAAAACCTCGATAAGACGGAACTTTGGTAAGACAGAAATCCCGGTATTATGGAACATTTTTTTGATCACGTTTCATATTACATATAATTAACTAACCCCATTAATATGGAAAAATGTCATGATCCCAAGCGATTCTGTCTTATCGAGCCTTTACTGTATATTTATATTTAATAAAATAGTATAATAATATTAATATATGTATTTAAATATGAATATTCATTACTATAATAATTTTTTTCTACCTCCTTAGATTATTAAAACTTATGTTATAAACTATGTAATAAATATTGTTTAAAAAATCTATTCAATAAAATTGTAATACCTGAACCAATTGATGGTTCATTTTTCACGGTTTTTGAGAAGTCTTCATCACTTGAATCTGCATCTGGTGCATTTTTCATTCCAGGACCATCCGTTTGACCAGCTCGTTTTTCATGTTGTAATAAAACAGTCATAATGTCTACATCAGGGGTAAATTCAAGTGATGCTCCTTCAGCACTATCTTTATTATCTATTTCAACTGAATCCTATAAAATAATTTAGAAAAAACAATTCAAGAGCCATTGATAAAACATAATTTAAAGAATTTTTTCTTACTCGAACAGATGTATTTTCTACAACAGTACTTTCTGTTAACCAAATGGGTCGTTCTTTAATAACTGGACGGTTATCTTGAAGATCTTCTCCAATAGTAACTTCCATTTTAGAATTATTTGCATCCAAATTTCGCATTTTATCAGGACCCCATCGTTCCATACCATTATTTTGTTTACCACTCGATGGCTGTGATGAGTTTGATTCCAATCTAAATTTAAATGCATAACCAATAAATAATAAATAGTAATAAAGTTAAATATTCATCAAATAAGTATTATATACAAACCCAAGAATACGGGTAGGTTCAGGTTCAAGAAGTTCTGGTGCAAGACGTATACCATCAAGTTCACGAAGTATAGAATAAAAAGGTTCCATAACTTCATTGAAGTTAGCCAACATAACACGGGTGTCTTGCTGGGGCAAGACTGAAGTGTCTTCTTCCACCAACTCACCACAAAATGTACAATGGAATTCATTACTTTGAAAATCAAACAACATATCTGCCTAGAAATTAGAATAATTATTTGCAAATGAAATTAAATAAAGTGACAAGTTTATTTTATATTTTCATGTAATATTTTAAGATGTTGAATTGAACCCTACATTGTTTTAATTTCATGAAACTTATCATGACCTTATCATTTGATTTACTGTGAAACCTAAACTAAGATCAAACATAAATAGCTGCTTGCTATACTACATAATTTGATAAGAATTTCATGATTTTATAAATATTATGATCCCTAAAGTATCCGGTGTAAAATTGTGCTGCACAAAAATTATCTTGTTTTATAAGTAACATAATTTCATGACATTTGAAATTAGATAATAAAATGTAGTCTTTTATTATTTTTCTTAATTGATATATAATTGTAGTTATGTAACTTATGATATTAACTATGAGATTTTGTAGTTAATGAAATTTGGGTTTTTTATTTTAAGCTTAGTGCTATTTACAACAATAATTATTATATATAACAATATATAACAATTATAAACAATATAACAATTATTATATTAAAAATATAACAATTATTATATATCATAAAAATCAATATTATAAATATCTGTATGCATACTTCTAGATCAGTAAATGTTTTAAAACACTGAACACATTTGAAACTGGCTCGACTAGTTGCATTACGTTCCTGTGTTTCCATTTTTTTCCGCATGCAATCTAATTTATACTTGACCATGTTTACAAAAGACTAAAATAAAATAATCAAAATTGACTTATGCGTAATTTTAATTCATATATTTTTAAGACAATTTACCTTATAATTTATGAAATAATAATTAACTTTTTGTGCTTTACTATCGGCTCCTGTTTCCATTCGTAACCGAGTTTGTAAAAATTTTTCACTTCTTAGAATAGATATGCGTTGTCTAAGCATTTTCCTTTCAAATTTTAACAATTCACACATGTCATCTTCTTTCATACAGGGATTTCTAACCAATATATCAATTATAAGTGCATCTTCAATTGTATAGAAACCCCTCACAACTAACCGTGCAAGCCTCTTTAAGCTTGTTGGAACTTCCATAACCACTTCTATCGCTGACATTTCTAAAACAGATAGCAATAATTATATTTAATGAGATAAGTTTCTACTTTATGATAACCATATTACAAAATAAGTTAACATAATATTATTTATACGAACACTAAGAATTGATTAAATATTGAAATCGGAATTAACAATCTTCATTTAGTATTATTTATGCACAAGAATCAAATTAAATGTAAAATGAAAACATATACCGAAAATGTATAGATCATTTATAATTAAAACACTTACTGGTTACTTAGTTGAATTTATTGTTATTTTTCTTTTCAAGTATTAAATAATATTATTTAATTCAAAGCTCATATGTTTTTTCAACGGTTATAATTTCTGTGATCTGTATAAAACTATAAGCATGAACATTTATTTGAAAAAAATGAGTAGATAACACGAACTTAGATAATAAAAAGAACCAATGCAATCATTGATAACGTTTCTTAAAAGCAGTGGTTCTCAAACTTATTTTGTTCATGAAGCCCTTGAATTCCTAAAAAAAATGTACTGAGCCCCAAAGGGAGGAATGTCGATTTCAGTAAACAGTAATAGATACATAAAAAATTATGTATTAATGTTTCATCAAATTCATCAATCGATTCTAAATATTTCTTTAACGAGGCAAAATTATCAATTTCATTTTGGAAAAAATGCACAGCCCAAAAAGTTATTATTTTTTTTTTTTTTTAAATCCCGGATTTTGTCATTTGCTATAAAAACTGCAATAATTTTACCTTGTATTGATACATTAATTTTGTGAAAATATTAGCCAAGTAATGAAGTCGAAATAACCAAATTTAAGAAAATCTGAGTTGTAAATAAAATAAGCATTCGGTGAAAAATACTTACAAATTCAATGCGCAATTCAAGTAATTGTACCAGTGTTTTTCCTCGATAACTAAGATATATAATAATATTTTAATTTAGTTAATTCAGATATGCCTATAATGCTACAGAAACCCTAGACTTCTCTCACGGAGCCCTAAGGTTCTGCGGAACATAGTTTTAGAACTGTTGCTTAAAAGTATGTTCGGTGACAGTCTTAGGACGGCAGGGGATTTCACTTCTCAGATAGTGCTATCTAGGGAAAACTTAAAGTGTGTCTTAAGAGAAATTTTGAATGAAGCTATAGGGGATATGATTATATGAATGATTAATTATTAGAGAACTAAAAAAGTATGATTTAAATATCCTTAATTACTCAAACTTGTCTCATATGGATATTAAATAAATTGTTTGTATTTTTTGAATTATTTTGATTTACAAACTTTGAATGTTTTAGCATTGATCAAGTGCATAATCAATGGTACCTACTGCTATGAAGATACAATATCATTGTTTATTCTGTCTATATCATATTGATACTGATATTCATCTACTTTTAGGATATACATTAAACATTTTAACACCTTGAAATTTAGTTCCCAATGATAATCTTTTGTTTTCACTCAGTTCTTTAATTTATGTACATTACTCTTTCTTTTCTTACTCATCCGTGGCTCTTGATTCTCTCAATACGAAGCTTACTTCTATACAGGGGCGTCATTTCAACTTTTTGAAAGGTATGCTAAAAAGTATACAGGCCAACAAAAAAAAAATTCAGCAGGCCAATATAGATATATTATACCAGAATTTAAATTAAAATAAAGTAATTAAATGAACAACCAAATATATTCTGAAAATAACAAAATATGCATTACAATACATTTTTTAGCTGAAACTTAACATGTTTGTACGACTGATTAAACCATACTTAAATGCATTACCTATAAATAGCTAAATCATGATGGTTTTTACTTTTTAGTATGTAATGACTTACTAATTTGAAAAAAATCAGGTTACAACTTTATAATTTTGTATACCTAATAATATCTACGAAATACCAAATTAAACAATTACATTTTATTATATATGTATACATATAACCCGAAAACGCCTTTTTGTTTACTAAAACTCATGATCAAAATTTACGAAAACTCGAAATATGTAGGTACCCGACTACACGTGGCACACATAAAAGTTAAAACAAAAAAATACATACTGCTGTACAGGGTCGTGTTAAGGGGGTTCAAAGGGAGCAATTGCCTCCGGACGCCGTAGTTTTTGAAATGTAAGGGGGCGCCCTTATCTGCACTTAATATGCTACCTGTGCCCAGTGGTGGCTGTTATTGGCGCAATTGCGCCCGTCCTACCTTTTTACATGAAAAAAACATAACACGATTGCGCCCAGCAAAGTAGCACGATAGCGCTCCGTGAAATATAAGGTCTTGCATTTCTAACAATTTTTAAATATACTATTTAAAAATACATTTGGAGTGTTAAACTCAAAGTTTAAATTAGGTTAAATTACCATTTTAACAATTTTTCTTCCCAATTTTACAGACTTAGGACTGACAATTTTCTGTGATACGTAGTTCTTGTCTAATTATTTTATTCGGTCTCGTAAAAAAGTCGTTTTCACATTTTTTTTTTATTCTGCAATTAATTATTTGTTAACTATGTTTTCTGAAATTATGTGGTGATGGTGTTCATTGAACATGCTAAGATCTTTTGTCACATCATTGTCAACATAAACACTCGATGGAAAATTGATGATCTAACCTAACTTAAACTTTGAGTTTTACACACTGATCGTATTTTTAAATAGGTAGTATATTTGAAAATTGTTAGAAAGGCAAGACCTTATATTTCACGGAGTGCTATTGAGCTACTTCACTGTGCACAATCTTGTTGCGTTTTTTGCAGATAAAAAGGTAAAACCGGGTGCTATCGAGCTAATTAGCTGGGCGAAATCGTGTTGTATTTTTTTCATGTAAAAAGATAGGACGGGCGCAATCGTGTTTCACCGCCAGTGGCCCCGGAAAAAAAATTTTGCCCCGGGGCGCTGAAATGTTTGACACGGCTCTGCTGCTGACTAAATCACTAAATAATAATTTATACTGTGTAAATCTACACAACTATGTTATTTTTGATTTGATGATTTGATTATTATTGGTTGTCCTAATTTTATCAATCACATAATATCATAGAGCACATTATTACATGGTACAATAATGTCACAGAGTATATTCTGTGCATAATGTTAATATTGTATCTATTTATAAAATTAATGTCGGTTATCTTTTTTACCATGGTGAGTACCTAACAGTGTTGCATCCTGCTGCAGTCGACCAGCTATTTGTGGTTGGGGAAGATGACTAGTTGAGGAAAACAGGCTATAGAAATCGTTATCACTTTCGTAACCAGAATAAAATATATGTGGAAAAATATATACAATTATAATTAATTATTACACATTAGGTAATAATATGTAATAGAAAAATTGAAACCAGGATCACAGGATTCCATTTGTTGATACGGCGCAGAAAAATTGGATTCAGGCCAAAATACAGTGTATGGAAATTTTAGGTATGCACTGGCATACCCTGCATACCTCAAATAACGCCTCTGCTTTTATATACGCCTTCTTTGTTATCAATTCCATTACTACCTATTTATTGAAATGTATTTTTAAGCTATTTAGAACTTTCATAGTTTTCTTTTAAATATTACCCATCTTTATTCATAACTAGAAATATCTTCTCGTTTTTAATTTTTTTTTTTCTATTAGTTTTTCCTCATTTAATTTATTGTCAACTTTTGTTCCTTTCTCACTATCTTTAAATCTCTTCTACCACTGAATATGTATGCTTTAAATATTCATCATTACAATATATTATAGTAGTATAGATAACTTTGTTATCATACTATTTTGAAAAAAAAAGGCCTTAAAAATGTATCTTATTGAATGTTAATTGAAAATATTCAACAAAGTATTTTTATTGAAATAAAAAAAAAGTTCTTAATATTTTTTTTTATCAAACTTTTATGTATTTATAAAATGTATACATAGGCATAATATTAATTGTAATGGTTTTTGATTTACATTTTTAAAAGTAATAATACCATTATAGATAAATTAATTTATCCAATATGAATTTTTGATTTATAAAATGCTTCAACTAAATATTAACATATAAAATTGATGATCACGATCTAATTACAATATATTAACTAACTATGTTACATGTACTTAAATTATATTATGTTTAAAATATTTTCACTTTTGAGTCTAAAATCACTGTGCGTTTTATATAATGTACAGTTCTCATAATTTTTGTAATTACATAAAATGTACAGGATCTTATTTAACAGTATTTCATGTTGTGTGTGGGACTAAACTACGCTTCAAAAATTTAAAATACAATTAACAAGCAATTATATGTAATTATTAACATAGTAATTGTAAGGCATTTTGTTTAATAATAAATGTATACTGTGAAAATCTAATAAGTATATAGTCTACAAAAACAATACATTAAAATATTTATTTAATTATTACTACAATGGCATAACAATAATAATATAACCATGATATCAGCATACTAAAAATTTGTCATTCATTAAATTTGCTAAACATTATTAATAAGTATTAATATTTTCAATTTTAAATTTAATTTTCAAATCGATTTTTGTATTTATTATTTTATAATTTAAATTTTTATTGTTAATAGTTGATAACTTATTGGTGTTCGGAGTCATGCGGAAAATTATTTTGAGCAATAATATTGTCGAAGATAAAAGTTACATAAATTAAAAACATTAAAAGCAAGTTAATGAAAAATTTTAATTTTTTCTATAACATCAAAACTTGTGATTAAATTATATCTCTATAATTGTTTATCACATAGGTACTAAAAATTAAAAACTGGTTACATGTAATAATAATAATCATATATATAAGTGAGTATTTTAAATTATTTTCAACTAGCTTAATATATATATATATATATATCGTTAACAAACTATATTTTATTATTAAATAGAAATAGAAGCTACTTATATTTTAACATACTAAACATTAAATATTATTTGAAGAGTAGGTATAGGAATAGTTCATAATAAATAAGATATAGTAAGTAAGGTATGATAATGATGTAAGATAAGTATGAAAAAAGTCTTAAAAATAATTATTTGAAATAAAATAGTATTATTTAACACAAATTCATTGACTGTACACTCGTATTCATATCATAGTCAATGTTCGGGTTATAGTATTATTGAGGATCCATCCAAATCGTTCGTTGGTTTTCTTGCATTTTTCTAATCGTAACTTTCGGATTCTTGTTGGACTAGTTTAAACCTTCTCGGACTTTTGACGTTGATTGATCCACAGTGATTGTTCAATATCATACCCCTTTTCGACAAGTATTTTTTTATGTAGCGGCACACTAGTGCCTGGGGTCTCTGCTGCCATTCGTCCAGTACTTCCTTTGGGTAGTGTATCTATAAAAAATAATTAAGTGATTCAACTGCTGTTCAAAAGTGCCCCAAAGTATTATTAATTATGAAACGAAATACGCATTGTTGTTGCAGGGATCTCATTTTTATATATAATAGTTAATGTCAGTGATAAGATGAACTTAAAACTACAGAGAAACAATTGGACATTTTACTGATAAGTGATAACCACTCACTACATACCTACCGACCAAATATTCCTTCCATATCTATGGTTTTTCAAGAATTTTATAATATAAAGTATAAATTACAGTAGATTATACTAAAGTGTATTATAGAATGTCTATAATCAATGGTTATACATAACATGTATTGTTCTATAGTAGAAAAATAATTGAATTTAACTTAGTTGTGGTTTATATACTCATGATTCACACTAACTTCTCAGAGACAATTGCCTCTCAAATAATCCCCCGTTATATCATTGGCTTATAATGGCATTTACAGTATAATTATGGTAAATTTAACGTCTAATATTCAAATGCCCTTAGGTATTCACTAGCATTGAATTTATCCTTAATGACATTAATCGCTATTATTTACATATTGTGATCCCCTCTATAAATTCATTAGCATTGAATTTATTCTTAATGGCATTAATCGCTATTTACATATTGTGATCCCCTCTATAAATTTATAAGCCTCAAAAATAAACACTTATACTTAAAATAATTTAGATAACTTATACACTTGTAAACACTACCACAACAACTATTTGTCAAGCACAAGACTAAGTAATGGTTTGCTTGAACAAGAAGAACGGTTAAATAACTATTTTTTTATAGGGCAATAGTGGCGATACATTATAGATTATGTACCAGTGGCGTAGCCAAGGGGAGGGTGGCTAAGAGGGCTATGCCCTCCCCCCCCAATGAGCTGTGTTTATATGTATAGTGTATCTATGTACTAAACTAGTATACTACTAATTTCATTTAAGTATTTTAAACCTTTGGTATTAACTAAATTTTGACGATTAACGAATAACAGGTGTTTGTCTTTGGCGTAGATATTACAGATTACTAATACTTCTAGTTTCTACCATGATTATCACTATCTTTTTGATGGTTATCATGCAAGTTTGTGGTGAATCACTATCAAATATTTAATGACGTTATCAACATGGGAAAAAGTGTTAATATTGAAATAAAAACGCCACGAGTATGTAAAAGGTAAACTTAGAGAGAAAACTTTATTTCTGAAAATCCAGAAATATATTTTAAATGTCCTATTTTTATTTCTTTTCTTGACTATTTAAAAGAATTAATGGATGTTCATTTTAATCAAAGGCTTATTGATGTTATGCCACTTGAAGTACTTATTCCGGCCAATTTAAATATATATAACGATGAAAATATTATTAAAGCTGCTAAAATATATTCCCAAGATCTCCATGATGATACCTTTTTTACAATCAGAGCTGAACTGTTCATACGGAGACAATAATGGAGTCAAAATACTATTCCAAAACCAAATTCTGCTGTTGATTCACTCTCTCATTGCACCAATATTCAATCTAACATTAAAGTACTTTTACAATTATTCGCCACGTTACCAGTTACCTCTTCCACTCCGGAAAGAACGTTTTCTGCACTTAATCGCTTAAAAAATTATTTAAGAAGCACCATGTCGGAAAACAGACTAAGTATAAATAAAAAAGAACAATTCGATGAAAGTGAAATAAAACTGAATTTGTTAGAAATTCGCCTAAGAGGATGCAGCTGTCAGAGTGGAGCAAGGGACTGAACACTAAAAACAAAATTATTATTATTATTATAAATTATATATTAATAAATATTTTTAAAACTATACTAAAATGTTTGAATTACATTTAAAAACTTGGTGGTAGATATTGAGGGGGGGATTAAGGGTGAATTCTCATATCCTCTCTTACCTTACTTATCCAAAAAAGTGATTAGCCCCTCCCATTTAAAAATCCTGGTTACACCACTCCAATGTACGTTTTTTCATAAAACATTCAAGTGTTTTGTTCCTTACCGTAATAAATATTTTACATAGATTTTCTGCATATAAAAATTAACTTAAATACGTCGCTAGTTTAAACTGTTTATATGCAGATTAAGATTAAGATCTTAAGATTAAGACAATCACAATTATCATCAAATTATTTTAATGTACCTGGTCGCCTTTGAGCCTGTCCAAAAGCGTGACGCATACAACGGCGGCTTTAATCCCTGCGTGGTGTGTAAGTGCGGCAAAAGCTAACGATTCCATCTCGATGTTCCTCACGCCGTTTGCTTTTAATTTCTCCAAATACTCCATTTTTTCTTCTTCGGTGAAGTCGCAAAACGCTCCGTCCATACGACCTTGTCCTATGGGAAATTAATTGAATATCCTTTAACAGCTATTTTTGCCAATATGTATGTTATGACTAAAGATCGGATATAATTGTATATCTTAAAATTGCACTAAAAAGATGCCAAAATTGCAAAGAAAATGTATTGAAATTGCAATGATATATATTAAAATTACATAATAAATTATATCAAATATATAATCATAAATTACTTATTTAAATAATATTATGGACATTAATATAATATTTACAAAATATATCATTTTTCTGAATCAAAATTTATAATTATATGCATCTCTAAATTGTGTTCTTGTAAATTGTATCTTCTGTCACTAAAAATATGTTTATATAATGAAAAAGTACGTTCAACGTCGAATTTGTTATCGATGCATATTTAAAATAGTTCAAAAAATTGGGTTATATATCTAAATAAACATTTTGATTTCCTGTCATAATCTTAGAGTAAGTTTTAATAGTTTTATATCCTTTATTTTATTCTAAGACATTTTAATTTATCTTTAACTATTTTTCCATTGGGACTGGGAATATTTATAGAAATATTTATACTAAATATTTTTATTTAGTTAGTATTTATTTAGTACTTATTTATTTATCTATTTAGTATTTATACTATTAAGTGATTAACTATTTGATTTTTCTAAACTTGTGAATTTTGTGGATAACTCAGATAAATATAATTTTAAAAATCCTAAACTACATTTAACTACATGTAAAAATTTACGACGCAGTTATATTTTTTTTTGTAATATCACATTGGAAATAATAATTTGTATATTATATGTAAAGTATACTAAAATTGCAATAAATTCAAAAAAATGCAAAATCGTTGAAAATTGTAAAAAATTGCATTATTAAATTAAATACGAAGACTGTAATCAATCTGATTCGTAAACATATTTGATTAGATTTGATTTACTGGGTATTGATAAAAAGTTGCAATATCAATTAAATTCGCTCTTTAGTCATGACCATATGATACGTTTATAAAATAATTTACAACTAAAAGTATAATGTGTACCTACATATTAATATTACACCTATATTATAGATGATAGGATATCGTGATTTTCCCTGTGCCAGTAGTCAACTACGTGCGCAGCTTGGTAGTTAAAAATTTAGACGTAAGTATTCTTTGTTCAAAGTATCTAGTGAAGCGATTACGAATTTAAAAATAGATTTAGTTTCACTGTATAATATAGTTGATATTTGTGTCCCCATATTTTAAATTTTATCTTTCTAAAATTCTAAATTCTAACGAAATTTATTGAAAATTTATATACTTTGATATTTTTGTTGAACAGAAGATGAAAAATAGTAAAAAATATGAAAAAAATATGAAAAAAGAATTAGATTTTTAAATATCCATCAAATTACTAAATCAATCATGGATACTTAAGAACAAAAATACGACTAAATTATTCTGTTGCGTATAAGTAATAACGAGGGTAAATTGATAAGACAGGTACTCATCAACAAACCAAATAAAAAATGACCTGTAGGAAGGCCAAGACAACGGTGGTTGGACCGAGTACGACCTGAAGAGATTAAGCAATGGAGCAAGTATTGAGGATGCAGAAGATCGAGAACTTTGGAGAACTTTGGTAGAAGCTGCGAAGCGCCTAAATGGCGCGTAAAGCAAAAAAAAAAAAATAAGTAATAATGATTAGTAATAATAATTAGCATATTGCAATGTTCGAATGTAATTCCACTAAATAATATTTTAGTCTCACAACAATATATTCCAAACAATTATATTAAACACCCTGATTAGTTTCAAAAAAGTATTTTAATCTTAATATTTGAACATTAATAATCATCTACTAATACTTGCAATATACTTTGAAAACAAATAACTAAAATAATTGTAGCCAATGCATGCATATAATTTTAAATTTGATATTAGATTAGTATAGTAAACTGTTGTAAAAAAAATGAATTACTGTTAAATTAATTATTTAATGTAATATCAAATTACACATTAAAAATCCCTTATAATTTTTTTGTATAATTAATTACTGTATCGTTTTTCGTCAATCGTGATTAATGTTCTATTTTAATTAAGTACCTATAAGTTTAAACTATTATAAAATAATATGCTATCTATAATGCATAATTTAATAGAAACTGATGTTCTTTATAGTAAATTAATAATTACAAATTAGTTAAGAATAAAAAATCATCAAAACAATGTAGTATAAGAAGAAAAAATTATGTTTTTTTTTTTAATTTTTTTTTATTTAAAAAAAACGTTACCATAAAGCAATTTAGAACGATAACAAAATAAATAAAAAACTAAACACAAATAAGGAAAACTAACAAAAAATTAAATAAGAAGCCTAGAGGAGTATATGAAATTAATTATAGAATAGAGTGAGGTTAAAGAGGAGATTAGTGTCAGGAGAAACCAAAAGAAGATATCAAAGAAAGAAGAAGTTGTCAGCTAGGAAGAAGAAAAGGACAATTAAAAATGATGTAATTGAAATCACAAATAGAATCCTCGTGAGCTCAATTACAAGTTATATAAGTAAAAAATAAGTACTACTATAATTTCAAGAAAGGAATTGAAGAAAAGCCTGAAAGCATGATAAGGAAGTAAGCTATGACCAATTCGAAGGCGGATGAATTATGTATTTTATAACAGTCGAATATAGTTATATTATATTATTTCAATTAACCGAATTTAATTGTTATTCATTTTTATAGATTATATTACAAATAATTCATAAACCATTTATAAACAGGTTAATGGAAGCCAAAATTATTATTTGTTGCCTTGCTCATGGCACGAAAAATTAATATACTTAAACATTTTATTAAATTTTCATGAAATTTTAATTTAAAATACCCCATCAATGTTTTTTTTCGTACTATCAGTGTTTACTTTTTTTTTTCGATGTTACTTTTTACTTATAAGTGTTTACTTATTATCGACTTATACATTATTATATCATGAGACTTTTAACAATATAAAAACATCTATTGTAAAACATCCCACGTGTGTGATCAAACGAAATTATACTAACAGTATGAAAGAAGAGATAAACAATTTTAACTGCTAATACTAACCTCTAACTATATACTGTCTCAATTATTATGATAACAAGGACTCGTTGAAGTGAAAATCAATTACGTACCTAGTATAAGAAATGGTTAAGGTACTTTAATTTAAATTGATATTTAGAAATTTTTCACTCTTACAATGTATTTAAAACAACGTTTGACATTATTATACGAAAAGAAATTTTGAGTTTACCATTTCAGTAAATATTTTCAATATTCTTTATAGCAAACATTTAAAATCATAAACGTGTATTTCAAGAATAAATATAAAATTAAAATGTTGATTAAATAATGAAATATAATTTATACTCATTTTATAAATTGTTTATAGCATCAATTTTAAAATAAAAAGAAACTTACTTATTTACAATACATATTATATTCTGGGATATACGCATAATATAGTTAATATTTAGATATTCAAGAATGAAACTTTATACTAATAAAAGTTTAAAAAATATAAATAGTTAAAATTATCACATTTCACATTCATCAAGTGACGGTTATGCATTGGATGCAAGATTTAGTTTTTCATAGCGTATAGTATATGTATGATAATATAATTAACTATTCAAGAATGATTTTTACAACTGTACTCTGTATAATACAACTCAAAACTGCGTTATTCATCAATTAATATTTAGTAAGCACATAGAACGTATTTGTAAGTTTTTTTTATGAACTAATACGTTATATTTTATTATAATTACTTAAAAACTAAAAATAAATGAAATTAAAAAATAATAGATATACATAATTTTTTTTAACATATTCTTTTTAAATACTAAGTTTAACATATTGCCATCATTATAATTTATTGCTGTGTTACATCAATATAGTAATGCATCATTGAAGCAAACCATGTAAAGGATTAATCGAAGAGAAATATTACATATTATTTAACAAAATTTGATTACTGTGGTACTTTAAGAACTTTATGATTATTATCAGTAATTGCTATGGGAATTTGTATTATCACAGTTATCAGTCTAATAATTACTATGCAGAAGGTTCCTACGACATCCAGACTTATTTTTTTCAGATTATCCAATAACGATGGCACGGTTTTTTATGTTTCGTTACAACTATTATGGTCAAAATATTGTAAGATACTTTGATTCTCGGACTAGTGTAGGATATATGTACCTTCATAGAAATCACTGGTGCATACGGTTTTGCCAATCATCGTAGGATACGGGTCATCAGGTTCCGCTAAAGATTTTAACTCCCATTGCAGTTTCTTGTCTAAAATCGATGATCTTCTCACCAGCTTACCCAGAATTTGCTACAAAAGTACACAGATATCATTAATGCCAGGATTAAACATTTTACAATATCGATTCTACAACATAGATGTGTCTACATAATAAGTAGTAATTATGAAATATTATATTTTAGACCACGAAATACGCACCAATTCCAAGTGTGGTTGAAGAAAACCGTCCACGGCTTCATCAGAAATGATCACAGTCCCGCCTTCCAGCCCGATACCACCACTAGTACCTATCCTAAAAAACACAGGATCCACGACTTTGGCGTGAAACATGAGTTTGATGATTTCGTGTAACAGTATTCCCACCGAAGGCATGCCCATTCCGTGCTGTAACCGAAAAAATGAATATATTTACAGTGTACATTCACACATAATAGTTATTTATTATTTATTTGTTTGCACAGTATTGTTATTTATAACTCGAATCTGATGGGAATGGGAAAACATATTATATGTACATATTATGCATAATAGTGTTTGAGTTTGGGAAATTTAGTTAAAATTAACATATAAGTATACCTAGTATATAAATTACATTATATATATATTTGTTAAGTATCAGTTTCTAAAAAGTTAGATATCTACTTGCTTATATACTATGTTATATTCGTATTCAAGGAATATAGGTACTCATATGTAATGAAATATTAATATAAAATTTTCAAGCAATATTATGGCAATGAAGATAATTATAGAGAAATTATCTGCTCTTCAAGTTAGATATGTTTTCGAGATAGAATCAATGAATATGTTGTATAATTGCTTTAATTCAATAATTATAATCAATCGATACGCGTAGATATCAATATATCGGCAAAATTCCAATGAGTTATTTAATGAGAGTGATTTATACTCACGCTTATACACAAGACGGGGCCGACTTTATACATTGAGTATCTGTATGAATAACGACTGATATCTTGCAACTTGGTCCCTGTAGGTATTTTATACGATATTTCCTCCATCAACTTGTATGCGAATTGTTCCATACGTTTTGGCGTGCCACCCATACACACGAACTGAAAGCAAACCAAAAAAAGCTATTGTTGATTTTTTTGTTGTATTTTAAACAGTTTGTCATTTTTCGCTAGACGAACGACTGTACCGACAAAAACAACCGAATTAACATATAATTGTTACTATTCCAATTATTTGTAATATCCAACTTCTGGAGTGGTAATTTTGAATTTATATTTATAAATAGATATTTTAAGGTAACAATGTTTCATTAAAATATAGAACATATATAAAATAAGTAGGAACTATGACAAGTGGAATAAATAGATAGCTGTGTATGACTTCAAAAAAGTATTTCGTATCCAACAGGTTGAAAGTCGGAAAAAGTTAGATAAAATCAATCCAAATACACATTATTTAAATTCAAATTTTATAGAGATGTAGAATATTTTTTAAGAATCTAAATAAACATCTTTGTAGAAAATAATTTAAAAAATGTAAATTTTTCATGATTTAACTTACAATTTAACGATTTTCTATTCATTTTTAACTTTCTAACTCATTGATTTACGAGTAAATAAATTATTCATAAAAGTTGAATTATTAAATTCTATAAAAGTTGAACACATGTGTACTCGTCACACAGTAAAATTATTAGTTGTATAGAATTTTATTCGTTATTTTTTAAAATTAAAGTAAATATTTCGTTAGTGTTTATTTATAGTTAAAGTAAAATGCATAGTACATATTATAAATTGAAGTGTTTGAATATTTAAAAATAAGGGAACAATTAAGTTAGTATTGCTTAGTAAAAAAAAAAAAAAACGTTATTGTAATAAATTATTAATATAAAAAAGTACTTGAAAAGTTTAAAATTAATATAAAACATTCACTCTTGAAGTTAACAAACAAGTAAAAGCATACCAACTTAATAAAAACAACAAGGGTTAATAGGTATTAAAATGAAGAAAAGAAAATTAAGTCACAATTCTGGTATTTTCTTTTTTTGCAATATTATACATTTTAAGGATATACATGATCGGTCATTATAACTTATAATTTTAGCTGTCTGGTCTTATCTAAATAATATATAGTACACTACGATATTTTTATAATTTTATTCATACTCATATTTAGGTTTAATTTTTTAAATAAATAAATAGAAATAAATTCGACTGAGAACTAACTATACTATTATTAATTACTATATATTAACAATAAGTTTTAAATGTATTATTAATAATATTGATACGAATATAATTGAAAAAAACTATTTGTTATGGATACTATAATTTAAACTAATTGCACATTTAAAGCAGTATTTTTCTGATTAAACATAATTAATCGACATCAATAGTATTACAACTATACAACAGTATGATCAGATATATTTTGGTATTTAATTGATTGTAATTCATTGTAATCTTTATATTAAAATGTTTTATTCATAGACGAAACTACGGGTCAGGTCAGTCAGGCCATGGCCTGACCTAATATTAACTAAAAATATGTATGTATTATATATTTTAATAATTATTTAGGCATTATAAATAATATATTTATACATGTAAACATATATATTTGTACTTTTTATATTTTTAATTTGGCCTGACTTAATAAAAGTGTTTAGTTTCTCCTATGTTTTTATTTATTAAATAACAAGACATTTATCTATTTTATCAGATCCTATTAATTGCGTTTTAAAATTTACGTCTTAAAACTAAAAATATTTAAAATTTATAACAAAATTTTACATTTAATTAAGATAAAAATAACCTAGAGCACATTTTATTTAAAAATATTTTCTCTTATTCCCATTTTTTTTAAAAATCTATCCTAAACATGCAACAATAAAAAAATTACATAAAACCACTATCATAATGTATTTATACATTTTTATTCTCTTTAATATAAATAGTTCATTATTTTATTTATTTTTTATTTGTTTTAATTCGTCAAATTTATTCAACATTATTTTTTAAATAAAAAAATATTACATTTTACCTATATATATATATATATATATAAATTGCAATAATATACATACTACGCTAAGAGCTGAATACCGCTATTAGACTGATATATATGTATACCCCAGTACTTTGCAACTTTGAGGGAAGTCATCAACATATTTTTATAATAAAATTACTTTGTACACCGGACACTAATCATAGATACTTATTACACAGCAAAGAATAAGTTATGCAATGTACGCATTAGTTTCATGCAAATAACATTGCAATTAAAATGTTATATTAATACGTCGTATCCATTGCACTATACCTTAACATCTCCGAACATTGCTCTCAGATCATGGGAACCGCTTCCTAAAGCCAAATGGTATAGTATATCTTGATCCATGAGGTCAAGATGTGAGTTTCGAACCATAACAGTGCTGACATCTTCGTACCTGTAAGTGTTAATATAAATAAATATGAAAAGCACCAAACATCTTTTATTTTATATTATTTATCAACATGTATTAGTGTATTGTATATAATTAATTTTAATGTAAATATGATATGGTGATAGGTCAAAATATAACACCATATAATTATTATATTATAATATAATATAATAATATTACATATTATGTTTATTTCTATTTAGTATAGGAATAGAGCAAGTGAAAGGTAGTTATGTTTCTTATTGTGGTTACTTTACATTACGAAGTGGGTATATAATTCAACTTTCGCTGCACAATTTTATTAAACATTCCATACAAAAATGTTGCAATTTTTTACGCGGCTGAAAAAACTATATGATTGCAATCACCCAAAACATGGTCAGTACTCATTTCCATGTAATACGTTTATGTTTTATTGTTATACATTTAAATAACGAAAATATCCAAAATAAAAAATAATATTTTAACTATTTTTATTGGAATTTTTATTAGTTTGTTTTTTGACATTTTAAACTAGTTATAATAACACTACTCGTAAGTACCTATTACATAACTTTTATAAAAAAATACGTTAAATTCTCTAAATATAATTTTAAACATTCTGTACTCAATGATTTGTTAATTTTAACGAAATTATGTTGTAGGCACACAGTATAGAGCAATAATACTTCGCGTAAGTTAAAATGCTTATTGCGGTTTATGAATTTATTTTAGAAATGTATTGGTTATAAATAAATCATAATTAGTTATGCGTTGTACTGAATCAGGTCTAACTATAAATCAACACTTCGTGTTCAACTAAGTTCGAAATTCGAACTATAAATTAATAAAATACAAACTGAAAACTCAGAATATTCGTTAAGTTATTCAAAATTAGAACCTAAACATTTTTTCATAATAAAAAAAACTATTAAATCAGAAAATCCAATTTTGAAAACTGAAGGTACCTATCTGTAATTATTATGATTTTTGACAACAAGACTTATTGTACATAAATGATCAAAATTTAAAATATTTACCGATTATAATTATATATTAAAATACTTAGGTATAAACCTTAGTGCTGTTTTTATTTAAAATTATTAGACATAATTTAGCTTGAAAAAAAAAAGATGCAATTATATTGATGTCGATAAAATATTTTTCGTAAACAATTATTTTAGGTTAAGTTTGGATTTGGTTGACCTTCTTTCGTGCCATGATAATGAATATTATACTACAATCGCAAAATACAAATAGAGTTTAATTTTTTATCTTTGCTAGGTTATCAGGTATATTTACCTGTAGTTGTCTTGTCATTGAATTCGTGACTCAATTGCGCATTGTTATATAATTATAATAATAAAAAAACTGCAAAATGTGGGATTGACGACTAAGAATATTTTGATAAAACAATCGACTTAACTCAGGCAATAACCATAGCCGAAACCGTATAAAACAATATCGAAAATCGACATGGTTTTATATTCATTGAAAACATACAATATAAATAATACTTCGACTTTTGAGAGGAAAATAACTCTAACTAGAGTATTGTTGTTCTACGTTGGAATTCTTGTTACACAATATTACAGACCGAATGTATGAAATGAATGGATTATTATACATGTGATCATACATTTATTTATATTCACATAATATATTTGTATGTATAACACATATACATACGTGTTAAGATATGCTACGAAGTTCAGCGAAAAATGAAAAAAATAATTGTTACAAATTTTTTTTTTTAACATTTTCCGTAATGAATAAAGTAAAAAATATTAATGGAAATCCCTCGTGAATATAAAACATAAAAACTTACATAAACTCTCTTGGTTTTTTCCTTTATGCTATTCAATCCAATTTTTTAACGCATTATAGCATTTGTATATAATACACTACCTATATTTCATGTCATAAAAATTGATTAATGTAGTATTTTGTATTTCCGATTTCAATAAAAATATGTGTTACATACGTTCTATGCGAATAAGTATAGAAGTAGTATGTAAAAACATTTTTCTTTTCATTTGAGAATTTTAAAACACTAATGAAAAGTGTATGATAAACATGATAACAGTGTAAGCACTGATAGTTTAAATAAAATCAATAAGTAGTAGATTTTATAAATAAATAATTTAACTACATGTTATTTGAAAAATAACGTTCTTGTTACATATAGATACATTAAACCGAAAAAGCTATATAAAAACACATTATTGTATAGTAATATGCGTATTTGTAATAAATAATAATGAATGTAAATTATAATTTCTAAAATGTAATATTTCGGTTAAATAGTTTTTTTCAGTAGTTTTCTCATCAATATTTTGACAAGTTTTAACAAATATTCTAAAAATGTCAATATTTTTTTCGAAATTTTTCTACCAAAAACCAGTACAATTATTCAAAAACAGAAAAATTGTAATACTTAAGTATTAACTCTGTATTCGGTTTTCTTTCAATAGAGTTTCAACATCAAAATCATCATTACTATACTTATTATTTTACTTATGCCAGTAATTAATTGTTAAAGCGTTTACTCCCGTTGAATATTATAATGAATAAAATAAATAAATAAATAAAATCCAATTGTACAACATGCTACCATAACAACTGAAACAGCATATACAGCAGCTAATTAAAGAGTTGTAATTACCTAAGATTTACCTAGAATCTAAGTCTTTGGTTAATTATTGATTAATTTATAAAAAAAATTAAAAATATTTGTATTCCACATGACCTATTACATTAATCACAAACATTCACAATATATTAATAATATTTACTGTTTAAACTGAACCATAACAATATTAGCATTCGATAATAATAATTAATTTAAATTCCAATTGATTTATCGACTTGGCAACCGAATAATGTTTAAAATTGACTGTTATCTTTTCACTGTATAACTTTTATATATATTCTATCTCATATAATTTACAAAACAATGTAATTAAAATCATTTAAAACGTAAAGTATAAATTATTTAAAAAAGATTTGAGCATCGTCTTAAGATGAAGATAATGTAGAAAATGTGATTCTAGTTGTGAAATTGCTATATAGTAAAGACTTATTTTCACTTATATTATTAATTTTCAAAAACAAAACTCTGTTGTTATTTAGTAACGTGATTTTTCATGAATTGAAAGGAAAGGGATTCTTTTCAAAAATATCGAGGAATGGGGGTTATCTCAAAAATATTTGTATCCCTCTTGTACTTACCATTTAAAATATTTATGTCTCTATGTACAGGCACGTATTATAAATGTATATTTTCAATTAAATAAAATGGTTTATGAAGAAATAAAATTCAAATAGATGATCAAAGTGAACACAATATTATCGAAAATAACTACATAAAAAAAATGTACATATTTGTTTCTAATACCACTTACAATTTTGTACATCTTTGTATTATACTGAATGAACACCTGTAATATTAAAAGTAGGTATCGTACTATTTATTATTGTGTATAATATGCATCCTATAATAATTAACGTTAGTAATAGGATTCGTATGACAATACATATTTAGGTAATCAACCCATATAATATATCGTTAATGTAATATAATATAGTAATGATATCCATGATTTCCCCTTAATACAGCAACACACATAGCAGCAGAGTCAGTAATGGAGTAATATATATATTACTCCATTATATACTTAAAAAGTACTTATAAGTGTTTCAGTGAAAATTCGGAATATTTTGAGCAGTAAGTTGGAGACTTTCGCAGTATTGATTTTACTCTCCGTTGTTATTTTATTTTGGTGTCCGTTTCTACGTTGTCTGACACCAAGGGTTAAAAACCTCTGTAGAATTTGTTGCATGAGCGTTTATTATCATTCGAAAAATAGATCATATAGCATATATCTTTTTTCGTTTTTAAGATTCCTTTGCTTTAGTTTGAAACGCATTCAGAATAGTAACGTATACAGCTTAATAAAGTCAATAAAATAATTTATGTATTATTTATAATTTACTTTTATTTATTAATATTTAATTTAAATTTGGAGGTAAATATAATAAATTTATCAAAATTATGCATTTTACACATTTAAATAATTTTACAATGATTATTCAAATAACTAGTCTTAGATCATAAGTTTTTATATATATATTTTTTTAATTACTTTATATTCATATTAATTTTTTATTTAGAACGTATTTTATACTTTAATCATATAATAAATTGCACCTAGTGCATATAAAATTTATGTCTATTAAAAAAATTTAAAACTGGTCAACACACATATAAATATAGTATTTTCTACTTTAAATAATATCACGAAAAGGATAAATATTTTCGAGAACGATTTAATTTTATCATTCTCATTTACGAACTGTGCAACTTTTTATCGTTGAAAACCGAATATGATAAAAGTGAAAAAAGACGGATAATATTCCAAAGGTATCAATCGTTGATATTTGATCATTGATCACGCGTTGATCACGGGTCATCACGATTTTTGACATAATAACCGCAGACAAATATGATGGTTTGGAAAATGTTTTCAATTTTTGTGTACAATAGTTAAACGTCACGTGTATGAATTCACGTACTACAATATTCGTAGTAACCTGCGCCGCTGTTAGAAATACGTTTTGTATAGTATCATTTATTATATGCTGCGTGTGTATTAATAATGTGATACGAATTTATTGAGTGAAACGATGTGAAAAAAAACTTACTCGTCACTTTCCTCTTGCTGAAAGAAAGACATGCCAACAATATGCGTTTTATGGTTGTTGGTACGACGAGAATTTCTACTGGTGCGCGGAGCTAGTGGTGACGCGGCTTGCAGTTTCAAATCGTTTCCTTCTTTTCGCCCCGGCTTTGTGCGATTAAGTTATTGTGTATTTCTCTTGTAGGTATGAACCGATAAATGTGTCTTCTCTCTCTCTCTCTCTCTTTTCGCCGTCTCGTCCTTTTGTTCCTGTCTGCACGTCTCTATGTTTCCGTGTCCGGTCAAGGTAGTGCACGAAAATTCGATCGCAGCCAGCAACTAGTCGGAAAAATAAAATAAAAACGATTTTACGTATTGAAATATTATAATATCAACAGTTGCGCGCGTACTGTGCGGCCGACGAACACTGGACGATAGGCGATAGGCGTGAGTGATCCAGCGGCGGCGCATGCTCCTCGGCGGCGCGCGCGGCGTCGACACATACGCACACACATACCGCCGCCGCCGCCGCCGACCGACCGCCGATCGATGCGAATCACAATACCCATGCGTGCGCGCCTACACTTATTATCGCTGCTCTATCTCCGTGGCAATAACGAGAAAAAATAAACATTTTAAAGGGAGGAAAAAAAAGGATTTATTATAACGGCGCGCAACGAGACACATGCACGCACGTACGCACTTACCCATACGCATGCGTTTTATTTTAATTTATACTTCGTATTTATAAACACACGCACGCCAAGCAGAAAACACATTGTAACGTACTCGTATACTGCTTAGGCGGTGTACGCAAACGTATACGTATACGTGGAACACGTACACTGGAATTTATACTCGCGGAAACGGACGTGGCGCCGACAATCGTGAGACTGATCGTTTTGAAAAACGTACCCTGTGTTGATCGTGACACGTAGTTACGAGTTTACAAATCATAACCATTGACATTATAACGCAGCGACAGTGGGTATCATTGAGTTGATTACCAACTGCGTTTGTTTATAGTTCACAATAACTATAATGATTCGCTGACCCAACTTATGAAGACTGTTTTTGCCATACGCACATACATATTGATATTTTAAACTATTCCATAGTAATAACAATAGTCTCTTGAGAAATTAAACAATATAATTTTGCAGCGTAGCAAAATCGTAGGAACAATGGTACCAAGAGAAATACTTCGGAAACCATTTTATGTTTTTTATTTAATTTTCGTCGATCATAAAAATGTACCCTTCGTCCGCAAGTGTAACAATAAAAAAAAATATTATGATAAAAATGCTTCGATATAATATAATCCAGTAATCGTCTGCGACACATATCTTATAACAACTAATAAAAAAAAAAACACGATTTGTCGGCGGTCGGGATAGAACGAGCTTACGAAATGTCGCAAACATAAGTATAAGTAAAAGTGATTCTTGTCAGGCGGAACGAATATTTAAGTGTTTATTATAATTTTTATAATTATAATATTTATAAAGTGTTTTTTTATTTATCATACATATAGTAGGTATACATGATGTAACAAGTATCTTACCAAATGACAATTTTATGTTTACTAATATAAATTTATATACATACTAAAATTGTTATGAAGGTTCCCAAAAATCACAATTTACTATAACGCGTCAAGCGTGTAAAATATTTCTTTCTCAACATTTATACTTATTTTCTAAAATGTTTGTTAATTTATACTAGGTGTTGACTAATTATAATGTCTATTACTAACATTAATTTAAACATAAAACATTTATTTAAATTTTAATTGAATTACTAAATAGGATACATTTAAGGTGTACTCTCAAAAAGTTAGACTTCAATATATAAAACAAATTTGACTTTTTTTTTATTTATACAAAAATTTATTTGTCTCTAATCTTTATCAAGATAAAAAAGTATTTATCTAATCCCAACATTGGTAATCCTAACGTTGCTTTCACTGTTTTAATTATTTTTTTTATATCCATATTTTGATCTAAAGTAGAAGTCGTATAGGGTAATTTTTTAACAACATGCATTGCCAATGGTTGTACTGCAGTTGAAACTCTGATAACCTTCCATATTGCAAGAAAAAAATTAAAACTAATACTATAACATTATTGCACAACATGTTATAAACAAATTTTTTTATGTATAGCTCTGTAAGTACGTAATAAGTTGAATATGTAACCATTGGCTGTGACATAACAATTTAATTTAATTCCAAACGTCCAAACATGAAATTTAAAAATGTACGTAGGTTATAGCACGGATAACATACTCGTATTGTATACGTGTACAATGTATAAACACTTTTTTTTTGTTCATAATTAATTTACTTCGAAATCATAAGCGCCGTCAGGACATACAAGCTTAACACGACACCATCTATTAAATATCTGTATTTCCTGTACCGTAATACCATGTCGGATGTCAAATTGTTGTCCACGACCTTATCTAATAATATTATTCATGTTATGCAAATATTATTAGGCTCTAAATCCAATCATGGGTGGATACGTGGTGAGGTCTCATCTCGTTTTATGAGTACGTGCCCTACCTGAGTTATTTGATTTCGACGCCACTGTATACCATTCATAACACATTATAATTTTTCCTACAGTTCATTCCGATGTACAAATAGACACGGTTTAAACACAAAGAAAAATACAGCTGTTAATAGAAAATAATGATATTGTGGTAAACAATTCATATACATATAATAATGTTATGGTAAAATGTAAGGTATCGAACAACTTGATAGACCGGCTAAATAATGTTAAATAAATGCAATAGAATAATTTTGTTCACCAGCTTAGTATATTCGTTGTGTGTAATACTTCAAATTTTATTACATTCTTTTTTTTATGAAAATTTTTGTTTTTCAATGAATGGCAATATTACAAAATAGTACTCAATTAATAATAATAATTAATATTTAAATTTAAATAGTTTGAAAATTATTCACATTATTCTTGTATTCATGTTGAGGGCCTCGGGGGTTGATCGGTTCTATGCCCCTTTTATTTACACTTGCTTGGCCAAGATGTACGGGCGAGTCCGTTTTCGATCAAAACCGTACCCTTCCCTTTTCGGCCAATTTACTTTTCGACCAAACTTAAAATAATACAGTTCCCTTTTCGACCAAAACAAAAATGTATATAATAAATTTAAAATAATAAAATAATGATATACAATATTTGAATATAATGGAAACTACTATAATATATTAATGACGATTCAGGGTTTTACTCACGTAGCGAGGTTTTAAGTTCACATACAAAGCATAATCCTATTTGCAACAGTATCAAGGTTTGTATAAAAACTAGGTTAGGCTTAGACTATAATTCCCCTTGGAACAAAGCCCCATCCCCCCGAAAAGTGCCAAGCAGTGACACTCGAGTTGGTGAGTGGATCCGGCAGGCGTAACAAGCGAAGACCTAAAGTTTTTAAAATTAAAATTCCGATTTTTCGAAAAAAAAAAATGCAAACAATTTCTATTACGATGAGATATCAAAATTACATACAAAATTTCGTTCTCTTTTATATTAATATTTTAATAACTATTGATAAAAATTGTACATAATTATTTTATTATTTTAAATTTATTACATAAATTTTTGTTTTGGTCGAAAAGGGAATTGACCTATTTTAAATTTGGTCGAAAAAGGAAGGGTAAGATTTTGGACGAAAAGTGAATCGGCCGAAAAGGGAAGGGTATGTTTTTGGTCGAAAACGGCCATGCCCAGGTATACACACTACTTGACAATGGTGGCTCAAGCTATGATGCACAGACATATATGAACCATTCAAAAAATTATCTAAAAAATGTTTAGATTACCTACTATAGTAAATTATAATTGGTTATTATGCACATAGTATATAATTAATAAAAATATTTATTAAAAAAAAAAGTTTTTGCAGATTTTCGTGTTGAGAATTAAAATTAAATAATTAACGGAGCACACATTAGTTGTGCTCCAGGTGGCTATACAAAAATTGTATAAAAATAAAAATAATCACTGATTATTCAACAATAAAATTTTACATTTTAAAAAATTACGTTCAACATAGTTGAAAATAATTGATTTAATATTTGAAAAAAGTTATATCGTCACCGGTTAAATCATCGAGAACACCTTCCATTGAAGTTTCTTATCTAGTTAATATTTTATAAAATTTAAGTATTGCTTTAAATTCATTATGTTTCTTCAATACTTTATTGAATTTTTAAAATACTTCAACACCAATTTCCCCTACGGAGTCATTCAATTTATTTTGGACATATTTAACTGAAAATAATGCTTCAGATAATGAAATATTTTGTGTTTCAAGTTTCATAATATACTCCATTATAAATCCAAAATTTGAATGAATGTATGCTAACCTTGTTACTTTTTTACCTTATTTACCTAATCATCTTCCATTCATATCATCGATTTTAATGTAAAATAAAAATTTTAAAAATATAATACAGGAATATCTAGTAAAAAATCTAAATGTATTTAATTTTTTATATTTGAATTTATGAAATCAATCATTATAGATTAAAATATATGCTCTAAAACCTTAAAACCACTAAATATGCAAAAATATGCATAATTCGTTTTTGATATTTTATTCTTAGTGTCTTAAAATTAATTTTGAACTTAATTAGCAATAAATCTAACAGTCCAAAAAACATACAAATACAACAACTTCTGAGTCATATATATCAGCATCGTTATTTAACAGGAATATATTATTAAAATTTGCTGATATAAAAAAGTAAAAGGCAAAAAGTAAAAAAAGGCAAAACTCCTATATTGAATGAGATACCATGATTGAGTTAGGTACAGACATGACTAAATAGTTTTTCTGTACCAGTCATTTAAACTTGAATTCAAAATAGAAACCTTTATCCTCTAAAATCGAATACTGAGTAAAAGATATTCAGTGAATCAGTTTTTAATTTCAAAAATTATAATAAAGTAGCAGAACCAAAATTCTTAAAGTTAATATTGTACATAATACTTGTAAGATAACTAATATCAATATATAAATAAATAAACATAGTTTATAAATATAAATAATTTAATTATTAGCTAGGGAAAAAATTATATTTGTAAAGTCAGGCCAGTTTCGAATAAAAAGTCAACTTAATTTGTAGATTATAAACATTGTATTTATCAGATGATACATTTTAATTCGAAACCGTTCGTACTTTATAAATATAATAAAACTCCAGGCTAAGCATTTATTTATTTATTTCTATACGTAAAATATTTATTTATTTATATCAATATTAATTTGAGTATTAACGAATAAATAATTTTAAATTTAAATTAAATTATTTATTATTTTATTATTAACTAATACTCATTGAAATATCAGATTTTGTAACAATTATAAATTTTTTTTCTAAAAAAAATTTTTTTAGCTACAAAGTAGATCTTAAAAACAATTTTACATCCAATTTTCAAACCTTCGATTTAATTGAATGTATTAGTTGTTTTTGGCGACAAAAATGTACCGAATTTTTGCAATTTCTATCA